TGGTTGTTGTTGCTGTTTTAGTTGTTGCTGCTGTTTTGGTTGTTGTTGCTGTTTTGGCTGTAGTTGTTTCTCAGTGTCAGTTGTCTCAGTAACTGTGTTTTTCGCACCGACAGTGTGAATTTGTCATCATCAATCTTCATCATCATCATAACTTCAAGCTTGTTGCATATGCTGCAATCTGTTGAAGGTTGTTGCTGCTGTTGTATATTGCTGTTGCTGTAGTTGCTTGTTATAGTCATTTTGTCATGTAAACTCTTCTAGACTTATGTAGATAATCGTTTCCATATTACCAATAAAGCAAAATTTATCTAGTGCAAGGTTCAAGGTTCATCCTCCTCCTCCACACAGTAATGAATTGTTGTGCTGTTGCTGCTGTTGATTCATTGTTGCTGCTGTTGCCTTTTTTTATTGACGATCACTGTTGTTGCTTTCTTGTTTTTGAAGGTGATGGTAATGGTTGATATGGTTATCATATTTGCAACAATTTACTGCTTCTGTGGTGGCTGCTGTTGCTCCTGGTATATGGTTGTTATTGTCATTGTTGTAGTCTATGGTTTTCAATGGTCTCTTGTATGCACAGTATTGGGTTTTTTCACTTGAATGGTGAGGCAATATTTACTTCAAACCAACCAAGTAATTTTCTTCTTCTTGTTTCTTCTTCTYCCTCATCACATGGACGAGTTTTTAATTTATAGTCATGTGAATGTCTGTTATTATATTAGTCTTGTTTGTTGTGTCTTTAATCTGTTAATATTCTTGTAAAACCATCACAAGTGACAGCTTTATAATACTTCCTCGGCATCTGAGTGGTGTATCCCTCGTCTGTGTTTGTAGTATGTACTTGTATTGGTTTGCTGCTCTTCACAGTTTGACCTGTGCATCAGGTTTCTTGTTATTCCCATATAGTCTAATATAGTTTGGATTCCAGTCCTCAGTTGTAATTCATTAGTCTTTGTCTTACACATGTAGAAGTAGCCAAGTCTTGATGTATAGAATAGTCCAACCATACATTTCTTTCTTTCTTTCACTTGTTCTAGTAACAGTACTCTAAATGTCTGATTTAGCATTAACATTAATGAAATCAAGTTCTAAGCTAAAGGTCTTTAATCTTTCTTTCTCAAATTAACTTCAGTAATCAAGAAAAAAGTGGCTACAAATTAACTTGATTTGTATTGGACTAGGATTCCCCCATCTCGATTACTAAAACAAATTTGGAATTAAAGATATCTTCCTAACTAATATAAAAGAAAAAAATACATATTTTTTCAATTTCTCTATGAAACTGGTACACCAAAACATTAAAATAATAATTTCTCCTAAGTGAGAAGGAAAATAAAATATTACTTAAAACCATACTAAACTTTAACAAATGGAGTGCAACTATTAACAAACAAACAGAACAAGCCCAACAAAATAAAACAAAGACGTAATGTGCTCAGTGTTAATGTTAACAAAAAAAGTCCTTCTTTTAGAATCTTGATGACAATGCTGTACTGGTGCAATGTCACCAAAAATACCAACACAGATGCCATCAAGATTATAAATTTAGGATTTTTTATTGCTATAACTAGCTAAAGACTAGTGTGAGCTGCATTGGTGTTTCTAATGAAACAGTAATGATGAAAAGGTAAATTATACACCGTGAAAAGATGAAAAAACATTAAAAGGGACATTATCGTAATGATGAAAAGGTAAATTAAATTAAAGGTAAATTGCTTTTTTACTCCGACGAAGGACTAGCGTCCGAAACGTCAGTAAGTTTTTTCATCTTTTCACGGTGTATGATTTACCTTTTCATCATTACGAATTTTTATTGCTGTAGTTGATTTCAGAGTTCCAAAATATCATATTTTTATACTTCTCATTTTCTTATCTTCAAAAATATATTATCAGAACACAAAGATGACTAATATTATATACTCAAATTATGCCAACTACGTGAAACAGTAGAACTAAACTAATGAATCAATGGTTTTTCTAATAATGTCGATACTTTCTTGTAGCTCTTCCTCAGTGATAACTAGAGGGGGTGTAAACCTGATGATGTGGTCATGTGTTGGCTTGGCAAGAAGACCATTATCTTGGAGTTTTAGGCAAACTTTCCATGCGTCATATTCTAAAAATATATTGATATTGACTCTGTCAATAATTTGCATTTGAATGTATAGGTGTGCACATATAAACAAACTTTGGTTAAGCAAATAAAACAAGGTCTGACATATTACGTTCCATAAAGCAATATGATCCTGCATAGCTCCCTTCACAGTTCCCTGTGTCTGTGAATCAAAGTGAGAACTGCAGTGACCTTGCAATGATAGACATTATAAATTAAATCTATTTATTTTACATCGTGATTCAGGGACTCCAAGGTGTCTCTATCATTGCAAGGTTATGGCCATTCTCCCTTCCATAAACAGGTAGTTAGTTACCTTTTAAGATGGTGCAGGGACCTGTCAAAAAGACTATTTTGTGTTTTTTCTGGTTTTGAAGTATTTATCAGCCAAAAATAATGACATCCCTCTCCATCATTTACTCGCTAACTCACCTTCTTAGAGTGAGAAAATTCTTGCTACAGTATTCAAGTTTTAATAATGAAGGGTTAACTTACTCTCTGTCGGCTTGATTACTATGGCATTCATGAGCCCCTTTCCTCTGGCTAATTCTACAACTTCTGGGTTTAGCTTTTTCATCTCCCCAAGTAATATTTTGCCTAAAGCTTCTGATCTCTCTGCCAGTTTTTCTTCTTCGAGAACCTGTAGATATCAAAGACAGAAAAAATTTAAACCAAGCTTACATGTGGCTAAATATAATTTAGGCAACATTCAAATAGAGACCTGCTGGTGAGCAGCTTAATTTACTGTAGTAGGGTTCACCCCTTGTTACTGCAAGGCCTGCACATGTGACCATGCATCATGGAGAATCAGTGCAATACATTGCTGCTTCACTACTGGCTGCTTTTTTTCTCCCACCTTCCTCTACATGGTGGTTAGTATTACAGGTATTTACAAATTCCACTGACTGCTATTAGTAAAGACTGGCACCAAATGGTGAATGAATGAATGAATGACAGTATCTGCTTTTCCTCAAAGGAGTATAATTCAAAACAAGAATATCTTGAATCTTTCCCATCTCATAACAATGTGTCATTCCTTAGAGTATCATTTCTGTTTTGAGGTTTTGCACGAGAAGACATGAATATGGATACAACTCAAACCAAGAATTTGATTTCAGAACATTACACCAAATCAAAACAAGTCTTTTTAGTGTGAGTTTTGTACCAACCTTGAGTGCAGTGATGGCTACTCTTGTTCCAAGTGGATTTCCACCATAAGTGGACCCATGCTACAAAGAAAAACAATATTATTATGTTCACTAATAGTACAACCAATAATTGAAACCTTAATGGGAAATATTCAGTGAAGAAATGTACCGTACCTCTCCTGGTTTGATTGTCAACATCACCTCATCATCACACAACACAGCGGATACCTTAAGGATTGAAACAATATTACATTAAACAACCCTAAATTTAAATTTGGATTTTTGGACTAGCCTAAACATACACATGATTTGAACAAATTTATAAGAAACATGAT